CCCCAAAACCCCAAAACCCCAAAACCCCAAAACCCCTAGAAAGATTACAGTTATTGAAAAATCGTAATGAATTATTTCATTTGATCAAGAACGGCTAATTTAGCCTGAATAGCATCAATCAGCATGTCATTGACTTCGTTGTTTTTATATTCATACTGAAACTGGTCTGCTGGACCTCCTACAAAGCTGATCAGTTTCTCTTGTTTAAGTGCCCTCTCTTCCATTTTTTTAGCTTTCTCTTGAATTATATTGAGTTTCTCTTTAGAAGATAATTTCTTGCTGTCCAAATAAGATTTCCAGTTTTGAGCCCTTGACTCATTTTTAGGGGTTAGTCCAGCATAATAAGGATGAGACTCATCTTGCTCTTTTTCAAGGCCTCTCCGAGCTATCTCCTGTCTCTTCATTCTACTCTCCTTCAGATAGTTATGCAGAGGAGGCTTCGAAGTGGAGGTAGACTGACTTAAAGAATTCAAATTTCCTTTTATCTTCCGAGTTTTGAACTTAGACTTCAACTTAATTTTATTACCTGACTTATTTTTGGACATTCAGTAAAGATAATTCTCATGTTTGACTCTCTCATCTCTCTTTGGAGTCAGCTTTAGTTTCTTCTTCGAGGCTTGTTCTTTTTTGAGCTTCTTCTCAGCTTGTTTATTTATCCTTTTCCCAGTAGATATCCTGCACTAATTTTAAGAGAATCGAGTAGCCTTGTCTAGCTTATCTCTGGCTTGCTGTTCCTTTACTTTTAGTTGAACCTTATTTCTCCTTTTCTTCCTCTATTGCATTTTGTAGAAACTTCGAGTTGAATAACATAGGCGTACTATCCATTTTTCCAACCGATTGGCAAGATCCTGTTTTATGAACCCTTCTATTCTTCAGAATTGTAAGATTATTCTCAATTGTATCATCATGCTCTCGGGCATGTCTTCTAATCTCCGAGAGAGACACTCTCTGATAGATATCTCTGCGGTTATTTAACTGATATTCCCTACGTTTTCGTTCTTGTTCCTGCTGCTCCTTCTTAAATTCTTTTTCTTTCTGTAAGTATAACGGAATTTTGAGAGGTTTGTGGCTTCATTCCTTCATTCGGGATTTTGCACGCTTCCTGTCCTCCTTGATCTTAGTGATCCTCTCTATGAAAATATAACTAGAACCCTACCAATGATCTTCTGTCGCTTCTGAATTTGGAGCTTTTGCTGTTCCTGCTCTCTTTGCTCCCTCTGGTGAAGTACCCCTTTGAGCTTTTCAAAATGCTTTTTATCACGAAGGCGGATAATCTTATTTTTTCTTTGTTCGCGTTTCTCCTTTTCTTTGTTGATTTTATTAACGAATTCTGCAGCATCTTTACGATACTCTTCTTCTGCTTCACTATTTTGCTTCCTTTGTTTAGTCTTAAGAGGAAAAGCATTCTTGTTATTTAGTCTCAGAGACATCAGGTTTGGCCGAAGGGAAGAAGGAAGATGAGTAGCAGAGCTACTATATGTAGATTCTTGGTACAGCCGGTCATAGACCGGCTGACTATTGATCTCCATTAGATTCCTATCTATGGTATTCCTCTCCTTACATTCGGAATGCGCTGGTGAAAGTCTGTTTAAAGATTCTAGGAGATTGAAGGAAATTAGCTTACTTTCTTGGACTGGATTCAGCGACATTGTGCTGACTTTCTTCCCCTTATTAAGTTTCTTATATAGTAAATAATTCTCAACATTATGGCCTAACTCAAAGGGCTCAGTGATTCCAAGATTTGTCTCATTTTGCTTCATGCTCGTTCGAGTTACGAAGTAACTACTATGAGGCTTAGGTTTTGAAAGATCTTGAATATTGAATGGCTTAGGATTATCAAAATCATATTCTTCTTTTATAATATCTTTCCAACTTGTTTACATTGGATTTTATAAGTGAGTTCTTTAGACAGCTCGAATTCTGGTGTGTCAGGTAGCATTTTCTCAAGATGCTCGATTACCTTATTTTTATATGGTACAAGAGCGGTAATGTTATCTTGGCTAAATTTAGGATTAAATGAATAATTAGATTCCTTTTCATCACCACCTCCCCTTTGATGGTCGTCTCCTCCGTTCAAGAACTTATTTGATTTCTTCTTTTTATCAGAAGATGTTCACTCTTCTTGCTCCCTGATTGGTAGAAACACTTTCTCTGAGTTTCAGAACTGGCGGCTATTTGATTCAGAATTATGGAACTCGTTAGAGACGAAATCAGACATCCTAGAATTGTGATTATTCAAAGCACGTACTTTTGGGTTTTTATGGACTTCAACATTTTAAACTTATATCCATTCATGATTCTGTTTGGTGTAATAGTGTTCTGAAACATAATTTTTCATTTCTTTTTCTCTTGAGGAATCTCCTAAATCACTGTAAATATTTTTACAGTTGTTGAAGAATAACAAAACCTACCTCTCCTCCAAACTTAGAGGTTTCTTCCTTGGCTAATTCAAGTTTATTTACTTGGCTCTTCTAAGGAGTAGAATTCATCATTCTCTTCCTCCTCATCTTCTTGGCTAAATCGCATGCTTTCAGATTCAGTATCAGTAGAGTTAAGTCAATCGAGATATAGGTCATCCAGGAATAGTTTAACCTCCTACATAATGTATAAGGACCGACAACTTTATCAAAAACGGTAAATTTTTAACCCAAAATTAATTTTCTTAGTCAAAATCTCAGTCTAACCTGATAAAAGTTAAGATTTTCTTGAAAATTTCCGAAAGATTTGATCGGCAACAGCTTTGTCCTATCTTACCATTTTTGTAAAAAAAATTATGAGATTCTATATTAACAATATTTTAAGGGGTTTTGGGGTTTTGGGGTTTTGGGGTTTTGGGGTTTTGGGG